TTTTTTTTCAAAATATGTACTGAAATTTGAAATTTTTTCAACAAACATTTTAAAAAGTTACAGTATCAAAATTATTTCTTATTTTAAGTAGGAAGACTATTAGAGCATTTAAAAGTGTCTTTAATGCTTGAGTGATTTTAATGCTTTTTATCAAATGTACTTATTTTCTCATGGTGACAAAAAAAATTATCTACGTGAAAATTATTTTACAAAATCAATTTCTGAGTGATCTGTGTAGGGTGAGATTTGTTATGTAATTTTAAATTTAGCGGCGGCAGAATACCTAAAACAAATATTGAGTAGGTAGGTATATAGTTGTAGAGCGTACAACTAGATGGCGCTTGCATCTTTTACCGGCTACAGGTAATTTAACTCACTGTATTACCGATAATTCCTAGAAAAGGAAAGCAATAGAAGTTGGAGAAAGTGTCAACAGTTAGCGCTGTTAATGACCACAAAATCCGTTCAAGTTTCCTATCTATAGTATCATTTATCTAGGATCTGAACTGCCGGTTTCGGGGAATGTCGAGGGCTTTTGTTGCCCAAATCCCCACCGGATTGACACCAGTCGTGGTGGGACCTCCACGTGACTAACGGCTTGTCAGAGTGGGGTATCGGCCGGTCGGACCCGAGAGTGGATATTTGATATATATGTAGAAAAATCAACAATTCTCGCCGCCGGGGTAAAATAATCCGAAATAAAAAGAAATATTTTTAAATTCAGACTTAATAAAATCAAAAATAAAACAGGTTCATTACACAACTCATCGGGGGATGTGATGCCAACTCACACCATACGGTGTGAGGAAGCAGCAATGTCAACGATTGAGGTGAGGTCTTTACTAGATTTTCTTTTTAGTTATAATCTAGAGATTTTGAATATCGGGAACGAGCCCACCTTTGTTATAAAAAATAGGAGTGAAGTTATCGATATAACAGTGCGATCGGGACCAGTATGTAATAATATTGCAAGGTGGCATGTGCCGAGTGAGCTGTCAATGTCGGATCATAGACATATCCACTTTGAAATCATAACGGATTATAATCCGCAAGTAAGAACCTACAGAGACCCGAAAAGAACTGACTGGGACTCCTATAGAACAGAGTTGCAGGCCAGGACTAGGGAAATCTGTATAAAATTAAGGAACACATATGATCTTGAGAGGGCTGTGGAGGAAGTCCAAAACGCCGTCACAAGATCATATGAATACAGCTGTCCTATCAAAGTGAGGTCCGACAAGCACACCGTACCCTGGTAGAGCAAGGAACTCATACCGTTGAGGGGACAGACAAGGAAAATATTTAATAGAGCAAAGCGGACAGGAGACTGGGAGGCTTATAGAGCAACCCTCACTGAGTGTAATAAAGAAATTAGGGAAGCGAAGAGAGACTCATGGAGGAAGTTCTGTAAGGATATTGATAGTGTCCCACAGTGTGCTAAACTCCAGACTTCTCTCTAAGAATGGTAATACGAAACTCGGGTCTCTTAAAAAACCGAGTGGGAAATACACTAAAACTGGAAGGCAGATATTGGAGTTACTTCTAAATACTCACTTTCCAGGCTCCAGGTTATTAAACCACGGAGATGAACATGACTGGGATCACCAGCGGAGGGTAACGACCGGGTCTCGACAGAACTGGGAGGTTGCCAAGACGAATTGTCAGTTGCAGAAATTGTCAGTCACGAATAAGATGGGCAATAAGTTCTTTTGACCCATTTAAATCACCAGGAGCCGATGGAATCCTACCCGTACTGTTACAGTAGGAGGTGGATTGTCTAGCTCCGGTTTTAAATCACGTCTTCAGAGCCAGCATTGCACTTGGTTATATACNATAAACTATACGGTTTTTGAAATGAACAGATTTTGGTAAAGGTCTATTTTCGATATATCTTTTCATGCCCCTCTTAATACTAGAATCACCGCTACTTTTATGAGATGTTTCATGGTGCATGAGTTACCAGTACAACAAAAAGAGAAAACTCAATTATCATACTACCATAACGCAACTAATTCCTACATTTTCTACTGAAACTTTCACTTATCAGCATAGAAATAAACGGTTATGTCCCCCAGGAAATGATTCCTCCGCGAGATGGAAAAGGATAAGGTCCAGGACGAGGACAGCAACTGCCAAAAGAGAAGCAGGAGCAACCCCAGCCGACCCCGTGTCGCCCCCTCAGGTGGTCAAGTTGGGCAGTCTAGGCCTGGCAAACGGCACGGAAGACACCAATAAATCGCCTCATAATAGCAGCTAGAGCATCATATCCTTGTTGACTTAGCACCGCAATATGACATTCACTCAGTAACCCTCCTGTGGACAGGTACATTGAGAGGGTGGATAGGCTGCATTAGATTGAGTTGTCTATAAGTTATAGGCATGTCCCACACAATTTTTTTAATTACTTGAAAAGACTGAGTTTATGTTTCTGAAATTTTTAGGTTTTAGGGGAGTATTTTAAAAAAATTGTAAAATTAAAAAATTCAACGAATTTTTGATTTTGAGTTTGTGTTTCTTACAGAAAGAATTTTTGTAGGGCTGGCGCCAGGGTATTTGAAAAAAGAAAAAATATATACAAGTTACTACTGTTGGAACAAATAACAAATTTATTAATAAAAAGTAATAAAAAAATTAAAAAAACGTTTCCATAGACAAAAATAAATATAAAAATATTTTAGCAAAAAACAAACAGAAATTATAAGAAACATCCTATAAAAAATAAAACATTCCAATAAAACCAAAAATAAAAAATATTGAATAAAAACAAAAAAGAAACTAAATAATGTCAAAACGGGATCTTTGCACATATCACATATCAACTTTTCTACATTTCTGATTAACAAAGTCTTCAATAATATCGTAAAACAAATTATTTGTTATATCTTTCTCGATAACAAGAATGGCTAAGTTTGTTAACCGTTCCTGCGCTATGGTTGATCGTAAATAATTTTTTATAATTTTTAATTTTGAAAAAGAACATTCTCCAAAATGTCAGATAAATAATACTTTCACTAGTTCCACTTAAAATTCAAAAACAAGAGATAACTTTAACTACCGATTGTCGCATTTCATCTTTTAAGTTGCCATATTGTGCGCTGTAGCAGTCGTGTCATGTTTTTGTAATTGTTCCTTGTCCTTGAGACAAAAGTGGCCGACACGGCGGCCAGCGCGGCGTTGACATGTTTAGTGCGAGTAAACCGAGTAAGGGGTCATTCATTAATCACGTGAGCTTTGGATAACATCACTATTGCTCACAATGGGGGAGGGGAGGTTGTTGTTTCATATCATGTGTATATTTTCGCGCAACCATGCCCGAGAATGCCTTGTTGTGAGCTACGATATGACATCTCGATAAGTAACGCGCAATTGATGAGGTCGATCTTTGTAAGATCGTCAGTCGCCTCGCCCATGCTGGCTGACAACTGCTGCTAGTTTTTCCTTTATTGATTTTCATAAAAAAATATTCTGAAAATATTGGTTTTTTAAAAATACACGTGTTGTTAGATAGGAGGGGGGGGGGCGTAGCTTACAACCTCACCACGTATCACCAGGGGGGAGGGAGGGTGTAAAAAAGTGGCCTAAAAACCTCATGTGATTAATGGACGACCCCTAAACGAATAAGTACGAAGTATGGACTAGAATATGTAATGTTTCACAATAAAGCACAAAGCACGCATTCAGTGCAATTTTTAATTTCTGTTTACAAAAAGTTAATAATCAAGTCTTAAAATGCCGGCCTTAAAAAAAGCCGCCTGAAATATCTGCTTCGCTGTTTCACCCCTTCGGCCGGCCCTGAATTTTCGTTTTCTGTTGTGTATTGGTGCAAGGTGGAACTCCCACTATTTGTATTCCTAGCAGATTATAAATTAAAACCTCTATTTATAGGGAGAAACACAAATTACCCCTTACCTCCAAATTATAACAGATTTAAAGGTAATAAAGCATTAAAAAAAGAACTCATAAGCAGTTTACAAAAATATTTTTAATTTTCAATGTTTTCAACAAATATATTAAGAACAAAACTACACTTTACAAATAAAATAATTTTGATATATTAGAAGACAAGTCACAACCATCGCTTTGGCACATAATGTTAAGATAAATAAAACTATTACCCACAAGTAGTACTCGATATGAGACATGCAACACTGTAACTATTTAACATATTTCTAACATCAGAAGTGGTTATGATTCAAAACAGCCTTCAAGTAGAAACTGATATAGTCACTAGTGCTTTATCGACAGTTTTAGTGATACCTAAGTACAAAATAAATAGATAATAAACACATTCTTCAATAGGGCGGGTTACCAATCTGTATTTTTTTAATAAAATCATCTAATACACATACTTGATTTTCATGAGCGGTCATTCGACATTGCCAGTGAATAAAAACAAACAAAATTAAAATTAAGAAAATCGCAGAAAGTATTAGTGCAAACGAATTCTTGACAGCTGCACATTTGTATCTGTAAAAAAATAAGTTAATGATTCAAATGTAGTTATTTATTATTAAGTTACTTTTTTCCAGAAGCATTTCAGGATCAGTTAATTTGAAAAAGTCATTTCAATTTCATCTTAGTCAATTTAATTTCAGAAGTTATTATGTGTAATTCATATGAGTATTAATCATTTCCATTTCAAAAAATAAAATTTGATTATTTCAAAATGCTTAACTTGATTTCGCAAAAACTTATACAGGCCGTCCGGAAATTAATGCAACAAAATTTGGTCATAGATACTTAAGACAAATTTAGGGGACCCGTATTTTTTCTTTTTGCCAAGTGGCCCCTCTTTCGGTATTACAGCCCCCTGAAATCTGCCCCTAAGAATACTTTTTTATATCTCAAAACCCTGTTATACGAGAATCACTAAATTTGGTACACAGGGGTTTTATGATATGTGGAATCTGATAATACTACGCTTTTTGGTGGGGAACCCCCTTAAGACACTTTTTCGTGGCCCCCCTTGTCATAGGAACGAAAAATATTTGGTCGCAAATTTGAATTTTTTTAAAATTATTAGTTAGCTAAAAAGCCGGACTAATAATTTTTTACAAAATTAAATATGCGACCAAATGTTTTTGGCTCCAAAGACAAAGGGGGCCCACGAAAAATTGTCTTAACCCTTTCGCTGCGCAATACGTCTGAACATAGCTACGGCGCCGTGCGCGAAAGTTTATGGCGTGCGAATATATACGTCTCGAGCAGTTAGACCACTTATAGTTTTACATTATGTTGTGTTAAATTACGATTTACGATAAATTTTACGATTTTATTTTAAATAAAATACAGTATATCGACAGCTGTATTAAATAGAAACTGAAAGAGAGATGAACAATCTTGGCATTATTACCAGTACCTCCTTCCATAAAAATATTTGTCACAATCGCTATAAGCTCCGCCCGCAAAAATTCCCCATACCAATTGCAACAACCGAGTCATTAATTTTTTCTAAAATATTTTTGACAAATTTTAGAACACATTTGATTCTTATTTAAAATACACATAACTTGTATTTCCAAATAGAAATGAATTAACTGAAAAGCAATTTTCATTTTCTGATTTAAAATTGACCATTCTGAAACAAAATCTATATTCTCTATTACGCTTTCCAAAATAAAATTAAATAATCTGAAACACAACTGACATTTTCTAAAATACAGGTAGGAAAAGCAAATAATATGGAAACAGTTTCCAGATATTTATTCTATATTCCAATATGAAAATTACGCACAGTTTTTTGTAGACAGTAAAAATGGTCATATTCAAAAATATTTAAGATGACCAATTTCCCTTTCCCTTCCATCAATAATTATTTTTCTTAAATATGATCAAAGGTAACATTTAGTGCAGGGTTACTTTAAAATTTTTTAAATGAAGGACAGAAGGTAATGCATTTTTTGTAAAATTTATTCATCCTTAGTAAGTGATATATCCTTTATTTATGTTAATATTTAGGGTTTTGATTAATTTTTTATTATTCTATAAAAACGACAGAACAGATTTAGCCGAGAATGAAAGTGAATATAAGAATGAATTTTATTTAAAATATTATTTTATGCAGTGGCAATATTGACAACTAAGTAGAATGTATGTATAAAAATAACTATTAAGACATTTGTAGAAAAAGTCTTATTCACTATTTCTATGAGTGATACCCACCTGCTTTTGTGTGTTACTGCATTCTCACTTGACGAAACTGAAGAACTACAATTTATTTCATCTTTATTATTCAAATTTTGCAAACGCTTTCTAAATTTTGCTCCAAAACTTGCAATTGTACCAACTTGGTTGTTACTTTCTCTAAAAACCAAAAAATTTTTATACAAGACATAAAAAAAAATTCTTCACTTACTGCACAGGCTTGGATATACGTAAATTCACGACGTCTTGTTTGAGTAAAGCTGTGTAGTTAGTTACTAAATTCCAGCACTTCATCATGCGATTTTCACAAGTAAGTATGCCAAACTGTTGAGTGGACTGCATTAGATCTCTAAGCAAAAACTTCACATCTTCGAGGAGAACAAAAACTGGACTTATGGGATCTGCAGCACCAATGCACTTGTGATCCCTCAAGCGATTTGATATGTCTCTGATTAAAGATAAAAACTTCTCGTGCTGCTGAACACAACGGTCCTTTTGCTTCTGAATCCTTTCTTTTATGTCTCTTGAATCTAATGCAATTTGTATAGCAAAAGTAGCAAATAGCTCTTCGGTTTTTTCCTTTGTTAAATTCTTTCTGTAAAGTGACAATACAAAGAAGAAATTCATACAATCTAGTCACGTCCTTACACTTTAATTTGAAAAAAAATGTAATTGGAATAATTACGAAAAGCAATCACATTGTGAGGTTTAATTTGTGTTCATTTTTTCAATATATTTCTCAAATTGCACTATGCACAATGAAAATGGTACACAGTTAATATTAGGGTGTACAAGTAAACCATACATTTTAGATTTGTAGTTTGTTGTTATAGTTGTTACGATGTCAATTGGAACCTGTAAATCTTAAAGCACAGGACCGTATGCACTTCTAAAATTTGTTCCTATGCTTTGACCATGATGTGTCTCGTAATTTATACTCGAATAGCAATTTGGCGAGTCCGATATTGGTAAACTAGTCCGCCTGATGTAGAATTGACAGCGACACGCTGGTCATCAAAGCAAACCTGTTTTGTTCCACTAGGTCGTAAATAATTTTTTTTTATGTACACGGGTTCACTCAGCTTTACCGCTTTGCCAGTGCAGTGCAGAGCATTGTTTGGCGGGGTATGTTGTTGGTATAATATGTATTATTTATTAGTTGATATTATTATTTGTTCATATCATAACCAGTAAAGGGTAATAGTTATTAAAATAAATGTTATATGTAATTATCTAGTAATTTAGTGTGGTTCTCTGGAGACTCTTTGAAGTGGAGGATAACGAAGTAACTAGGGAAAATCCCCAAATAGTGGAACCGGTTCTTGTCGAAAGTATCGAAACAAACCCAGTTTAAAAACAAAGATTTACACGTACAAAGTCAACGTATTATATTAAATAAATATGAATGTTTGAAAATTGAACAATGTGATGAAATAGTTAGAAAATGGATTAACGGATTAACTAAGATATCCAAAAAAGGCCAATTTATCGCGTAATTAAAGAAGGATTGATCACGGTACAAAGAGGAAACGGAAAAATACAAAATTAAAGAAAATTGACGATTTTACCAGATGTAATGCGGCGCACAATTTATAATATGTATAAAGAAAATAAAGTTCCTACTTTAAACATGGTTCGAGATAAATTAAGCGATTAACCTGATTATAATTATAAATCTTTGGATATTTTATGACATGCTTTATTACAATGCGATTTTAAACATAAAAAAACTTGACAATCGTATGATAATTATATGGTAATATAGCTCGGAATATAGTATATCTAGACAAGATAGGGCAAAATTTTTCTAGACGTCTATGGATTCAATAGAATTTATGAGTTAAATGTTTTATGCGGTTCCAATTAAGATCATAACAACTATACTAGATATGATAAAAAATATACATGTTTGTAGCAGCATAATTTGACAAGGATATTTTTCAAAAAATATTTTTCATGGTTATTAAAGTCATGGTTAAAATACAATACAATAGGGTTGTTGACTATAAAAACAAACCATATACAAATTGTTGTTGATACAAAGATTTTATATAAAAGAACCTGTCTGTATAGTAAAATTTTAAATATATGATAAATTAGTGGTAGAAATCATTTATGAATTTTTGTGTTACTTAAAAACTAGTCTGACGTCATAAGGGGCAATTGAACAAGAAGCTAGTAGCGATCCTATTGCATAATTTTGAAGAAGAAGAAAATATATCAAAATTGTCCATCAAACCCTGCTGCCCTGTTTCCTGTNACACGTACAAAGTCAACGTATTATATTAAATAAATATGAATGTTTGAAAATTGAACAATGTGATGAAATAGTTAGAAAATGGATTAACGAATTAACTAAGATATCCAAAAAAGGCCAATTTATCGCGTAATTAAAGAAGGATTGATCACGGTACAAAGAGGAAACGGAAAAATACAAAATTAAAGAAAATTGACGATTTTACCAGATGTAATGCGGCGCACAATTTATAATATGTATAAAGAAAATAAAGTTCCTACTTTAAACATGGTTCGAGATAAATTAAGCGATTAACCTGATTATAATTATAAATCTTTGGATATTTTATGACATGCTTTATTACAATGCGATTTTAAACATAAAAAAACTTGACAATCGTATGATAATTATATGGTAATATAGCTCGGAATATAGTATATCTAGACAAGATAGGGCAAAATTTTTCTAGACGTCTATGGATTCAATAGAATTTATGAGTTAAATGTTTTATGCGGTTCCAATTAAGATCATAACAACTATACTAGATATGATAAAAAATATACATGTTTGTAGCAGCATAATTTGACAAGGATATTTTTCAAAAAATATTTTTCATGGTTATTAAAGTCATGGTTAAAATACAATACAATTAGTAATTCTCTGCGACTTGTGACAAAGCAAAACGCAAGTCAGTCACTTCCTAGTTTAAGGGGTAAAGCTACTGTAAAATGTTACAATAAAGCAATTTTTGGATTTTTTTTACTGCACAGTAAGAGGATAATAATATTCAAGGATGTTATTAACCATGTCTTTAAGTGTTCACAAAATAAAAATATTTATTCATAAATACAGTAATGTATGGATAATCCCCCCTATAATGCGAACGGCCCAATTGTGTAAAATGGTATTCATAATCCGAACTTTTGCATTCTATAATTCGAACTAGCAATTACATATTTATCTTTGCACATCTGTCCAAGGGCCACTGCATGATCTGATTATTCTAAGAATACTTCAACAGAAGGCTGTCTATCTAAACATCAAGAAATGCGTTCAAAGAACTCTTGACAATTTTGTTGAAAAAAATAATTAAGAGTCTAGAAGTAAATCTTAATTCTTTTTGCTGTTAGTTAAGTATTAATCTTATCTTTTGAAATTCCAGTACGTATGCAACAAGGTGTTCCTATTTCTTAGAAATTTGTTTTTATTTTCATTATGTTTGAAATGTATTATATACAATATTTTATTTTGAAAGATTTTTGTGGCCAATGAATATATTTTTAGTGGAAGAATTATGTATTATGTATGATTAACTATGGTATCTATAAATCGAATGTGTTTAGATTAAAGATATCAATCATTATGAATTCTGTCAACTTTCTATTCGGATTATCCATACATTACTGTAGTACAAAATGGCGACGCTGGTGCCATTCTTGTGAGGCATGTTGAATTTTAGGCCATCTGCTGCACACAGTACAACTGAAGCAAATTTTAATATGGAAAAAAACAAAAAAATTTTGTTATTCTACATAAGCATGGTTAGAAAAATACATAGGCAATTTTGAAAACATTTAATCCTGTAATTCAAGTTCAATATAATAATACCTAGGAAAGTGTATTCGGTTGTAGTTTTTACAATTACATTTCATTTAATTCCCTCAACTGGAAATTTAGATTTTTGGAAAAAACTAATTTTATTTTAAAACTTTGACACCCTGTAGCTAAGGAACGAAGCGAAATCTGACCCATGTTGATATGAAAAAATAATCTTGTTTTTAGTTTAGGAATCTGCCACCGAGCATTGGCCCATGTTTTCTGAAACACCCTGTATGTGCATGGCGGCACAGTGTTCTAAATTTGTTCCTGATTTTTACGTCATATATGGTTTACTTGCCGACCTAACTGATAATATAAAAATAAAATATGTATATACTTTTAAATACATTAAAATAATGGCGACTGAATCATCTGAAATTATTTGAGATTTAACTTTTTAACTTACTTTGAACTACTTTCATGCAGACCCAATTTTTCTAAAAATGTATCGGATATATTTGGGAATGTGTCTTGAAATGATGTAAATTCAATACTATTATCCTGAAATAGAAAATATAAAATAGTCATAGCTTACAATAATTACAATTATTTTCAATATTTATTAAAAATTGTTACAATAAATTTAATACAAAAAAATATACTGAAAGGACAGTAAGAAGCAATAAAAAGATAAATATGTGTAAAATAGAATCAATTTAATTTTAAAATATTCAATAAAGGGCCCTGAACTTAATTTAAAAAGTCCATTTTTTTTATTAAATTATTAATGGATAACTGTTTAGATTTTCCGTCAGTAGTTAAATACGGGAATTAGCCTACATAAAAATATAAATCTTTTTATCTCAATTACCTGAACATTTGATGCATTGCTGTCAAAATTGTTCCAAACTAAACAAAAAGTTTAGTTGAATTTGGAACATTACTAGTACTATTATTATTCGTATTATAAACTCAGCTATTAAATAATTCAAAGGGTCGACACTTGAACACAAATTTTGACGTTTGTAGGACATACTACAATAAATGTTCTAAGATCTGATAAATACGCATAATTATATTATTATTATTATTTTTATTATCCTCATTTATTTTACATGTTTTTTAACATAATTCATTCAAATGAAGTACCTATATTGGAAAATTTTTCAGAGAAGCGATAAAATGTATTAATTACTATGTGAATGTGAATTACTGTGTGAAATAATCTACAGGATGATACCACACACACCACATTTCTAGTTGCTTTGATTGCTTTTTTGTAGGGATGGCACCAGTTTTTATTTGAGAAAAGGCATCTTTCTCTGTTTTATCCATTAAAATATTGATGTGATTTTTTTTGTGATTTATTGCTTAGTTTTATCACAGACAAAATAGCTATCGCCCCAGACCTCTACTGGAATAGGCCAGCAGTTTTAAATTTCCTAATTGCCGATAGAGTATATCACCAGCAAAATTTTAGGAAGAATCAAATGCAGCGGTCCGCATTCCTACGTGTATCCCAGCAACATATAAACAACAGTTTGGCAATGTTGTCACGTGTACTTACGGGGTTATTTTGTACAGTTTTTTATCATTCACTGTTTTTTGCGTTACTGTATTTACTTAAATATAGGTATTGATAAAAATGTTTTAAAGAATGAACAAATAGGTACCTATGTAGTAAACTTAGACGATCGGATATTCTGCAGTGGTTATTTAATCATTATTTGGTTAATTTTCATTTTTGGGTATTGAAATACTGCAGAAAATATATTTCCAAATAAACAAAATTCGTAGTGATATTTTAAAGAGCTTGCAATATAATTTTTTTAATATTCGATGATGAGGAAAAAATTTAATATACAAGGTGGGTTATTAGTATGTCGCGGAATGTAGATACAGAATTTTTATTTGTATTTTGACATCCACTTATAGGTTTAATAATTAAAGATAGAATTTTTATTTGTATTTTGACATCCACTTATAGGTTTAATAATTAAAGATAGAAAAAAACTTTAAATACAAATGTACGACTTTTCCTTTATTTCTTTTGAATGATAAATCATTAAAAAAATTAAAATTCATCCTTATTGAAATAACAAACAACGATTTTTATAACTAACCTTTACAGCAATATAAGGAAAATACCTAAAAATGAAATAACATTAAAATACCTACAATTTTTACAAATTTTCAACATGCAAGTAATTGTGATGATACAGTTGAAAATATGTTTTAATTTACTATTTATTGCTTTAAAAACAAATTCAGAATTATCAAACATTTCGTTCTATATTTTTTCTTTCAATACTTATAAATTTTGAGGTCTGTAATATATTTTGTTGAAATGTCTCCACAAAAATATGTCTAAAGGACCGAGATCGGGACTGTTTTCTGGGCACCCAAGGTTTCTAATATTTTTACGACAGGATTTGTCATTCAAAATAAATTTGCCGATATTCCTGAAGAACTTTTGCATATTAATGTTATTTGGATAATACAGTTTAATTATGTTTTATTTTCGTCATCAGAATAACCCATTTCAATTTTTTTTAATTTTTTAAATGAAAATGGGTTATTCTGATAATGGATAAATCCCATATATTTTTAAAGGACAGTTCGTTTCTGTTGTTTTTGTCTGATTGTGTGTGAGAGAGATAGAGTTATATTGTGCGATAGAGATAGTGATTTTGTCCTAATAGAGGGCTTTTCTCTCTCTCTCTCTGCTGTCTTCAGAGTCTTCAAGGCCTTCCCTAGCATCTTCAGGACTCCTAGAGTTACGATGTCACAACATATGAGAAAAAAAAAAGGTTTTTGCTCGTAACTCGAAAATGGCTGAAAATATAAACAAATCTCTCCTTGGTTCCGATTAGAGCACTAGGTGGGTCACAATATATGAAAGAAAAAAAGCAGTATTTGCTTGTATCTTGGAAATACTCGAAATATCAAAAAATCTCCCATGGTTCTGATTGTCCGTTCTATGTTGAATACAAAAGGTCCGAAGTCTGTATGTCGAAAATAAATTTTGGAAACAAAAGGTGTGTGACGTCATATAGTAAATAGGCCATATAACTTGGAAACAGTGCGTTGAATCGAAAAAATAATTAAAAAAATCTCCCCTACACCCTTGATTCTGATTGTCCCTTCTGCGTTCAATGTAAAATATCCGAAGTCCGTATGTGGAAAACAAAATTCGGAAACAAGAGGTGTGTGATACAGTAAAAAGGTCTTATAACTCGAAAACGGTGCGTTGAATCGAAAAAATAATTAAAAAAGTTTCCAACACCCCTGGTTCTGATTGGCCGTTCTGCACTGAATGGAAAAGATCCGAAGACCGTATGTTGAAAAACAAAAAAGTTTGTCAAAAATTGCAACAGCAGTAGTGAACGCATTATCTTATCATTGGGATCATTGATTGATGATTTGTCTCTTTTAAATTAAATTTCATATTCAACTACTCCTTGAGGTTCCAGCAATTTTACATTGTGTTAATTTTTTTGAACACCTTATGTCACAAATATGAGTACTACCAATGGCATCCATGATATGCATCACTTGTGTCAATAATTATTTCACTTATCTAAAGAAATCAACAATAAGAGAGCAGTACCTATCTAAGGATACCTGTATAATATAATATAATTTAACATGCAGTCTGTGGCGATAAGCTACATTGTCTGTGGTTTTCTGTTCAACTGTAATAATATGGTTTCAAAGTTTCAATTCTGGTGAACTAACTAGTCATTTGTACCAATTCATCTTTTAGAAAACACACAAAATATATGGATAATTTTAAAAAATAATAAAATTTAATCACCTCCAATATGATGTGTCCACAGATCTGCATTCAAATCTTTTTTTATTTTTGTCAGAGAATTACCTGTACAATTATCGGTGCAATACTGTACCTTTGTAAAAGAAAAATCGTCACCAGCTGTCTCAAAGCTATCATCACTACTATAGGGGCAAGTTTGACAAATGTGATTATCTGGACTTATGTAAATTTCTTTGGATGTATTGTAATTGATTTCTTGGGGTATTTCCGAGTTAGTTCCTTCTATGTCGGCAGATGGTGAATCTGGACTAACAGATCGACTTGTGTGCAACCTTGATGGTCTCAAAGTAAATTTCTTAATCATCTTCACATCACTTGATTAAAACAGAGCAAGTAAGGAATCTAATATATTAAATGTAACATTGCAACTTACGATTGGGAATACTGGTTTGTGTTAGTTTTTGTATTTAACAAACTGTTTATGCCGAAATCAGTTCCTTCCATTGATGTTGGTGTCTTAGATGCCTAGAAAATTCAAATTGAATACTGAATTCCAGTAAACTTTTTGGATTGTATTTTACCCAAAATAAAAACAGTTTTTTCACATAAAAAATTTTGTTACCCTCTTAATAGTTATATGTATTAGTATACATGAATAAAAAAAATAAATAATAAAAACTACTGACATTGACACATTTTAGAGAAAAATAAACTAAAGAAAAATCATGGCAAACTTAATGCCAAATCCATCAGCAAATTTAAAAATTCAAAGGCTTCAGCAGCAATTTATATTTTTATTCACAATTTAAAATGCGATCTATTATCTGCAAGCAATTAACTGTTAAACTTAACAGGCATGGTATCTTTCACCATTACAGCACATTAGATTTGGCAAGGAAACATGTTTCAACCAGATGTGTATGCAAAAAGGTTTCTTTAATGATGTAACAACATATTCCTAGTGCCTCATAGTGCCTCATCAATTAAAGTTGTCAATCATTAAACCAATTTTTAAAAATAAAGGTGATCCGGAATTAATGGAGAATTATAGACCCATCAGTTTGCTTCCTGCATTTTCAAAAGTTTTTGAACTAGCAATGGTCCGTAGGCCCACAAGTTTTATGAATAATTGCAATTTATTCAGTCATAGTCAGCATGGCTATAGACAGGGTAAATCTATAAATACAGCTATCTATAATTTTACAAATGACATCATTAATTTTTTCGAGAGTAAATGTCTAGCTTTGGGTGTGTTTTTAGACTTAGCTAAAGCCTATGATTGTTTAAATCATGACCTTCTCATAGTAAAATTAGAAAGATACGGCATTAGAGGTCCGGCTCTGAAATGGATTGTCTCCTATTTATCAAACCGAGAGCAAAAAGTATGCATAAATCATAACGGCGGTGTGTTTAGCTCCGAAAAATTGAAGATCAATATAGGAATCCCGCAGGGGAGTATCATAGGTCCACTATTGTTTATTATATATTTAAATGATATAGCAAAAGTACCCACAAATTCAAATCAGAAAATTATTAATTATGTGGACGACACAAATTTACTGGTAGGGGCAGACACCATGCCAGAAATCATAACACAAAGTGAGGTACTTTTACAATTAACAAAGGACTGGCTTTCAAAGAATGGTCTCATCATGAATAATGATAAAACTCAACTAGTACTTTTTTCATCAAGTTACTGGCAAATAAACAGACCTAACAATATCATACTGGACAATCAGATGGCAGAATTAGCAAGTAGTACAAAATTTCTAGGACTGCATCTAGATGAACACTTAAATTGGAAAAAACATATAGATGAACTTGCTGCTAAATTAAGTAAAGTAATATATGGAATCAGGGTAATTAGTAAATATGTAAATAGTACATCTACAAAAATCATTTACTTTGGTAGTTTCGAATCTATTTGTAAATATGGAATTATGTTTTGGGGTAATAGCACTGACATACAGAAAATTTTTGTCATTCAAAAAAGAATTATAAGAATTATCAATAATATGTCTTACATCCAATCTTGTAGATCGGTATTTAGGAATAGCAAAATAATGACTATATCGGCTCTGTATATTTTTGAGTGCTTAATGTATGTAAGGAAAAACTGGAATAATTTTATGACAGACTCATCATCTCAGTATAATACAAGAAATTTAAATCTAATGTACCCATATCACAGACTAACTCTAACAGAAAAGAATGCACATTACATGTGTATTAAATTATTCAATTGTTTACCAGCGTCACTTAAACAGATACAGAGTGTAAGTTTATTCAAATAACATATTAAACAATTTTTGTTAAATATTGAGCCCTACAATGTAACTGAATATTTGGAACACTGTTTAAACTAACTTAGGGAAACTGTTGTGACACCATTTCGCTCTTACATTGTCATTGTAAATGTTAATGTTTTTACGAATTAAAGATTATTATTATTATTATTATTCAATGTACTCCCATTTAAAACAATGTGTTCCATCAGAGTGACAACACCACTACAACGTAATGGTGAAAAATATATCCCTTTGGGTTGTGAATTTTCATAGGTCTTTCAAGATCAGAAATAAAATAAAATACAAATTTTATGTTTATTCTTAGGTTACTGTTAAGCACGTCAAAATTTATAGATATACAGGATGGACCAAATATGACACTTTTGGGGATTTCTCGTATTTCTCATAAGCACACCTCTAGTAGAAAAAAAATGAGAATGAGATATTTTTCAAAGATTAGAGAGATTTGAGGTTACTTACCTTTACCAAATGAAAATTTTATTATTTCGTGTGTTTCTCATATAATTTCGTTTGACTATCATTTCATTTATTTAAATATCTACGTATTATTGTAAAATTTCAGGAAAGCATAATTAAAAAAAATTAGCATGTCCATTCCACAGAAAACTTGTAGAATACTACAAGGTTGTCTCAAAAATTACTTAGTGCAGTAAGATCAGCTCGTATGTTTCAATAAAACAATAATGCATTGTGCTTAAAAAATGCAAAGAAAATTGATCCCAGATAATCTAGGAAATCAGAAATTCCAAATCCACCATGGAATTACTAATATGTAGTTAATAACGTAATGTCTTTTTCATTTAAATTTTATACTGCCTACTTACATATTCTTTGCAATTCTAATATTGTGAAACGTATAAAAAACAAATAAATATAATATAATAATTTTTGTTGCTACCTTTCTTAACATTTTTAAATATTGATGAAGAAAATTTTGCACCCTCCTTTCGTTATGAGCTGGTGTCCCGTCTTGTTGGAACCGGATATTTTGTCTCATAACTAAAGGAACTTCTTCCAAAAGAACATTTAGTTGAGTCTGCAGGAATTGTAAAAATAATAATTGCGACCGTTCAAATTTTCCTCATATAAATAGGGTCCAATTAATATGCCATTAATAATACCACACCATACATTTATAGAAAACGTGGTTTGGAAATGCCTGTCTTTGGTCCATCTAGGGTTACTGTCATGCCAGAAATGGCTATTATTTCTATTCAAAATGTAATTTTTTGTAAATCGACTCTCGTCAGTCCATATAATGTTATTTAAAAACTGGTCGTTTTCTTGAGCCTTTATTTCCATTTCTGCAATAAAATTTAGTCTTCGTAGCATATCACCATGACGTAAATTATGTAAAAGATGCACTTTGTAAGGATGATACGTATTTCGCTTCAAGATATTATGGACCGATGTTCCGGAAATCCCCGTTTCTTGTTGTATAGCTCGCACCGAGGTAT